ACAACTAAATATTTTGTTATATAAAACAAGATATTTGGTTGCTGTTAAAAAATGCCTCAACTGAACAGTTTTGTTAGAGATACTAAATTTTTTTTTCTAGTGTGATCAAATGTCCATTAGGACCACAAACCTCAGGCATCCAAATAATGACGTCGTCGCTGGTCAGGGTATAATCCGGAAAATATTGGCAAGACAATTGCCACATTCCGACCGGATAAGGACCAATCATAATACCTTCTTATGGCTTGCCTAATCATGCCGTATCAGGCATAAAAAGTTGCCATATTTGATTTCTGCTCGGGTCCCCATCGCGCACCGGCAATTGTTACGGACTATTGCCCGGAAATCGAAGGACGCTGGATATACGACTCGAAATACGACGGTCTCAAAAATGGAAGATGAACTAGAAATATCGCACCTTGCAACGCTCGCGTTTATCGACGCTCCGCGGGAAGAGCGTGACATAAAATAAGTGAAATTCTAAAGTCTTCCGAAGCTCTCTCACCGATGCTCCGTTGGAGACACAATCGATGTAACGTACATCTCTTTCTCCCATTTGTGTTTGCGATCGCCCCTCCCTCCCCCCGAGGAAACTCTCAAGATCTTTCTCTTGGACTTTGTCCAACTTCGACTAGCTCGGGAAATGAACGTGTCTCGGAATTAACGTCGTCGCCGAGCACGTAAGCGTCCTCCGTTTTTATAAAGTTTTACAAAAGTCGAAGTAAACCTGGACGTGCGCTTGTGAATTCGATAATTCCGTAATTTCTCCGACACGACGCGTACTTGTTGCTGCCAATTTATTTACTTTACTTTACTTTACGTTTCCCGACGGTGTAAAGTAGCGTATCTGCGCCGACACGTTGGCCACGATCTCTCTGATTGATAACGCGGGACAATATCGTCCGATCTCGTCGCGGTGACGTCGCGGAGGATGAACTTCTTTTCGCAGCGACACTTCGCGCAGCGCGAGATCGGTTTCCGGTCAGGCGGCTCTCGGCCGAGCAACGTTATTACGCGTTCTATCTGTTAAACACCTCGGCGCAACCGATTTATGATTATGCTCTCTCATCGACGACTCTCCGTTTCGCGTTCTCCATCGTAAATTACTTCGTAACGTGCTATCACGATGACCTCGATCTCCTCGATGAAAGCCACGGTGGGAATCGTCATCGCGCGATAGCTATTTCTCTTTTCAATCTCCACTTGTTTTCCATATGCAAATTCTCAAGCTACATTCCGGGTATCGTTTTCGCGCGTTGCTTTTTTTACGCCGACGTTTACGCTTCCGTTTGTCGTAGCGAGGCAGCGCAAAATCGGTACGTTAGATTCTGTCGAATCAGGGCACAGCTCTCAAAATGTTTGTTATATCGTGTACATCGATCCCAGCTGTTTGCTGTTGTGCATCCACTTTAAACGGCGCGCGCAGCGCCGACCTCGTAAATTAAAATACCGGCCGGAGCGACGTAAAGTGCCGCGTATCTTTTGACCAAAGGCCGCGCGGATTTAAAAGCATACGAGGAACGCCTTTTATAAATTATTGGACGCGTTGGCACAGCGCGCGCAATCGCGCGCCGTCGATCGTCCTTTTTGTCGCTGGGAATCCATGCGATTCGCGCTTAAGCATGGCAGCGCTACGCAATAACGCTTCGCGAGCGTTCCAATTGTTTAATTAAAACACTCACCAACCATTTCATGTTGACACCCCAGCTGTCCAGGTCGACCGGAGAGAAACCCGCCGCTGCGCCCTGACTGCGTCGAGTCCTCCGCATCCGAGTCCAGCCGCCGGTCGTTCTTCAGTTACTTCGCTTCATTTCACTCCATTTCACTTCATTTCGCTTTCGTCCTGAAAAGTACGCGACAAGTTCTAACATTCCGACAATACACGCGCGATCGCATGGAAAACCACGAACTTGCGACGAGATAGTCAGCGAACCACGGCGAGTGGTAGAGAAAGAGAGAGAAAGAGAAAGAGAGAGAGAGAGAGAGAGAAAGAGAGACGACGCGTATTTACATGCTTCTCCCAGATAGGAATTCCTTCGTTTCAATGTACGACGATAACACTGATCTCGTCGCAAAAGAGCCAACAGACGAATCTAAGCGATATCATCGCGAGTGATATCATTGTCGGTATACTTACACAACACAGGTTAAGTCCGGAGTTAAGGTTAGGTTGCTTGGTCCATCACGACGTTGCGCCGCGTGTCTGTCCGACGAGTCGGCGACGAAGACAGAGCAGCGACAGAGACGCGGCCGAGATCGCATTCCGAGGAGATTGCTCTCTTTGCTTTATGTCTCTGCGTCGATTCTGTCACGAGTTGCGATCACGATTGCCTTGAAATTTTCGGCACTACCGAACGCTACTACCGCCACCGCCGCTTTCGCGTGTCGTGTGTGTACGCGTCCTACACGCGCCCTAGAGGTTGCGTGAGAGACGCGGCAGAAGTGGGGGGGCAAGACTTCCGTGTTTACGAAAGTGTGTTTACCTCCGCGTAGACGAATTTCTTCGAACTGCAGCTGGGAATTTGTTCGTGGAACGCAGGCACGCTTTTACCGCAACGGTATTCGGCGAAGGAGACTCCTTGATCTCGACATTCGATCGAATTCGGTTGGTTCGATACAGCGATCGATATCTGTATTCGCAGCCGCCTGAAGTAGGACGCGCTGAAAAATTGAGACCCGTGCGTTTCTGATAGACGTGAAGTTGATCTCCTTTCCAGGGAGGATCGATTAGATCGAATTGGATTATCGCGATGGGAGGTGTCGCGCTTGTTTCCTCATTCGAATGGAAATTGATCTACGGTATCTCCGTATATTGCTTGGACAAATAACGTCAAATGCGACCGTCCGAATTTGAAAGCTCTGTTTGTGTCATGTAAAGCTCTGCACGCGGTGTCACTCGAGCTTGAAGATCGAAAGGGCAGATTTAGCGTGGTAGAAAGAGGGTCTCTGTGATAACGGAAACTCACGCGAGAGAGAGAGAGAGAGAGAGAGAGAGAGAGAGCTTAGCGCTGGCGAGCGAATTACACGGAGAGACGCGCGATGGAGACGACGTAAAACGTATTTGTGTTTCGCAAATGGCGTACACAAGTCGCGGAATGAGCGTGATAAAGCTGAAAGCGTTGGCCACATTGCGGTGCAAGAGGGAAGCCGCACGAAAGAACGGAATTGCGCATAGACGATATCGAAATGTTACGCTTGACGACGTTGGAGTTTCTGAAATCTTCAGAATGAATTCATGCGGTTTATCATCGATTTCATGGAAATCTCTGCGCACCTCTGGTCAATCTGGGTCAATCCCCTTGGAAAGTTCGATAGAATGTTATTTTGTTTTCCGCCACTTCTAATCGATATCGTAATTCGGCAACTATCAAGAATTATATTCCCGAATATTAAATCGCGCCTCCCATTCGCCTCCCTTTGTAACGCCTATGGTTTCGAGTTTTCAATAGATAGCGCGCGTTGCAGCGCTCCATTGGAAATCGACTGATGGGCGACCGTTGCTGGATGGCATTGCGATCCAATTGATTCCCGTATATCTGCCCGGCGTTGTGAATGCGATACAATAGACGGGGTCGAAGGTCGAAACCTTTCCGCGTCGAAATGAATCGTCATCAAGGCCTGAAGTGCCTCTCGTACCTCGGCAGAATATCGCGCAGCAATTTTTGAGAAATTGCCTCGTTGTCCGACAGCGCCGCGTTTCCGACTCATAAATCGTCAATATGGCCGTACGAATACGAATGCCCGAGTACTCGATAGTTCCTTCCAGGATATTGCCCACAGAATCGTCTTACGATTCGTTGAGGAAAGTCTCTAAAGGTGTTCTTCGGTAGTGCAGAAGACAGAAGATATTTCTGAGAATCCAACAGCGAGCATTCACGATTTATGCACGATCGAACGATTTGAATAAAGAGAAAAAGAATTTAGTGAATGTTCCTCGACATGACTTTTCGTTCCACACAATAATTAATTACGAAATGGTAAGGCACACACGTTATCGTGCGCACTTTTGGATGTTATCGTTTGTGTGCTGTACGTGATGAATCGCAGCAATCGTAGTAAATCGTAACCGCAAGCAGGATATCATCGTGAGCTCGCCGGCCGTCGAGCCCGACGTGATATTTTGATTCGCGGATCACTAAATTTCGTGCCGGCGGAAGCATCGGTTCTGGCGGCGCAATCGACCTCCGCTCGCCGCTATTAAATTTTTGCGCGAGCGTGTTATAACACCCGCGGCGTTTCTCCTTCCTCTCGATTATTTTCATCGCCGATAATAATTTTTTCCGTTGCCGCAGCGCGAGCGTCAACGCGGAAAAACTCGTTGGCCACACCGTCCGATGGCTGTTACGTCAGCGTTATTTACAATCGACATTGCGGCTGTGATAAATTAAATTCGCGGACGCGTGTGCTGCGCTATGAAAAATTATTTCGCCCGCAAGAACCACGCGTGAAATTCGTGACTATGAAAAACGCAGAGTCGCGAGCGATTCGCCGGTTGATCAGCGGAATAAATATATCCAAAGAATCACGCGTCAGAGATCGACGCGTCCGAGCTGAATAATAACGCAACGTATGATATTGATGACGCAACGTCGTAACTCTGTGTGTGTGTGTGTGTGTGTGACGTAACAATAAGAAAGTTCCAAGTGCATAAACGTACCGAAGCCCGAGTTAGGCGCAACATTGTCGCGAGATGACGTCGGAGCAACTCGCGAGGTCTCCTTAAGGAAACGCGGCGGGGCGGCAGCGCGATGCTGCGGTAGAGGTGCCGCGCGGGAGAAGTGAGGAGGAACGCGTCGGGGAATTTGAGAACGTGCTCTTATCCCGGTCGAATTAGGAAATTGCTCTCCTCTGTACTGCCGCAGCATCCGACGTAAATTAGAATGCTGCGGTGACGCGGACCGAGTGCGAGTACGCGCTGTATTACCGGCATTAGTGTGCCGCGCGCGCGGTCGCAACTGGTTAGATCCAATTTAATGTTCTGTTCGCTCCTTGGGTTGCAGATCTGGACACGATGCTGTACGGATACACGAACAGCATATACGTGCTGGACCACACGCCTGAGTCGTTGCCGGTGAGTATAATTCGGCGCGTAATGAGCCAGTTAGGCGCAGCTGTGTTACTGCGACCGGCGCTGGCCCGAAGACGCCATCATCCATAAATCCCCCGCGTTTGTGATCGTACGAAGCTTCGTAGCATTGTCCATACGACGTGTCTCGCATTACGCTGATCATACAGCTTCACTTATATCCGCCCCTTGTCTCGCTGGAATAATAGGAACGAGCCGAGCGCTATATCTCTCTGAAGCACGAACGATCTATTATCCGCTGAAATGCTATATTAATGGTTCAGATACCACCGGCGTGATTAATAAAATCGCGCTAAGAGGATCAGGTAATAGAAACGACTGTTGTCGGTGCAATTTGCAAACACTGACCCATCATGTGTCGTCACATAGGGCGCGTGGAAGCTCCTGATTCGGCTCGATTTGAAATCACGATAAGAAAACAGATTAGGCGCCGGAGCGTACAGCGAATTCATGCATTGCAGATTTTGCACGTTGAAGAAAAAAGAATAGCTATTAAGATTACTAAAATTATTGTTACCGTCGGCCTCAATTGCATCATTTTCATTCGAACAAACAGAGTAGCGCTTGCAATATCCGTATGCAGTTATCATCGCCGACATTGTAGTGATACTCGCTACAAAAACGGCCCTCCTGACTACAATTTTTTCACCGTGAGACTGCAGTTACAATTACCAGACACATTTCTTCCCAGTGCAGCGAAATCTTACACCGACATGACACGAGGCGAGAAAGTGATGTTTTCGCTGAGCAGTCGATGAGCACGCGCTTATCGATTATCGGTGAGATATTCCCTCTCACCGGTTCAGTCGTAAACATTTTCACCGACTCGCTTCAAAGGAGTGCGGCCCCCATCGAATTACTCGACAGCTGGATTGTAATTTGCGCGCACATATGACGAGCGCATTATCCTCCGGCTAAATGGTCTTCTTGTTGCTTCATTACGAAACGTCCGCTTCGGCTTAATTTAAGTCGGTAGTGTATTTGATGGTAATTAATTCGGCAGACACAGACAACACGTATACACGCGCGCGTGTGTGCCCGAGTTTGTACTCGCACGGGCCATTGTCAATGTACGCAATGCAATGTGTAATCAGACTGTTAACCGCAAACGTTGCTGCATAACGCACCGCTGGCCGATAGTCATTTACGGTAACCGTTATCGTCGTAATCTCGTAGAGGACCGTAGTCAAAGTGACAAACAGACTAGATAACAATGCGCAAACATACGAATTGGAGCGCGTATTAATATCGTCGCGTGACATTACCGCCGTCCGATCGCAACGTTAACCGCGCGCACCGCGCGAGGGGAGTTTATCATTTAGACGCGTTATGTTTTTCTCGAGAATTGTCTGCTCCCTCCTCTCCCTTCCCCCACTGCCCCATTTAACCGCGCGAAATATGCAATTAGACCGTTTCTATTATCAGCGCGCGTCTCGCTGATGCGCGACTCTCGATTAGACTCATCAATTATTAGCGCAATTGCATGGCCAACGCTGTGTGCGCTGCACTATGCATAACAATACGCCAACTTCAATTACGATAGCCGATTTGTCGAGCGCTCGTGATGTAATTAAACAAACAATCGTGTAACTGTAATTTGCGCATGTTGCGTGTAAGATTTTGCGGTGTAACGATAGTAACAACGTTTGATTATGATTATATGCGCTCTAATTAAATTACGGAAGGACGAGGAGACAGATAGATAAATAAACAGAGAGAGAGAGAGAGAGAGAGAGAGAGAGAGAGAGAGATTCGGTTACCAATTAAATTAAAATGACTGGTTTCAATTTCTCGCCGAAATTATTCGTGTCTATCAACACGCGATAAATAATCGCGACTCTCGTGCATTATCGATGTATTTGCTCTTTGTCGGCGAATGATTATCATTATTGTGTAATTGCAGGATAATTTGCACATACAAATGCACGGTAGGATCCGCTTAGATATCCATTAGATAGCTTTGTACGCGTGCGCGCTTGATAACATTAATCGCCGCAATGCATATGAAATCGGAATTATTACGACGAGTAACGTAATACATAATTCATCGCAATTATAAATCATTAGTATTATCAGTGTTAAATGAATATGCACTATCGGTCGTGCAGAATTTTACGTTTATTTATATGATGAATCGAATTAATTGCGTGATACGATATAAACGGAAGATCGCGTACATTTGCACAGATATTACACCGTATCGAATAAAATGAATGCTCGTCGTGTGGAAAATGCATATGCAAACACTCACACACACACACACACACACACACACACGTGCAAACAGTATATATTAGAATATTACAATTCTTACGTTCTCCGTGATTTATACCAGATTTTTGCCGACACAGGCAATATGCGAACTTAGCGAGATACCCGATATTACTCTCTTGCCTGACGCTTCTCTTGTCCGCTATTTAATATCAGTCACACTATTTATCCGCGATCGATATTGGATTAGCGCGGAATCACATCAGAACCGTAAACCGTTTAATCGCGCACACGAAGGGAGAGGGGGTGAGGAGGTAGGGGGGAGAGAAAGACCGACATAAACGTAACATCGTTAAAACATTTATACGCCATTTCGTAGCGCGTTCCCCGCGGAAATGATCGTCATAATAATTGCCGCGGGAACAATGCCTATTGTAATTGCCCGCGAACGATGCATACATTCACAGACGCATAAATTGATAACAAAGTCGATGCGCCGCGGCCCGTGTGCCAATATGTATTACTATTCGAGTAATCTATCGGCGACAGCGACGTCATTTAACCAACGTGATTACAATACATTCGGGAATGCCCGGCAGATGTTGCAAAGGACCGGCTGAATGCTACATGATAGGGTAATTAATGTAGGAAGCAGGAACGCGCGGAAATGGCGCGCGTTTCGGCGCCGATGAAAGTGCATTTGTTCGGATTCGCCCGCCGACCCCGGCAATTTCGCCACGAGACGCCGCGAAAATCTAGCGTTCGTCGGTGGGGCAAAGGAGGAGGGGGTGGGGGGAGAATCCCCGCAATTATTACCGCGCGAACGCGGCGGCGGCGCGGCGCGGCGGGGAAAAAGGCCGATTTATGGCATGCCGCTTATCGAAGCGTAGAGAAATGCATTAATTAAGCCAGTGTCGTTCGTGTCAATTAACGATCTTTCTGCGCGCCGCTTTTACGCTTTACTCGCGGGCTCGCTTTGCAAAAAGTATTACATATATATCGGGGGGCTCGCGTTTCGGTCCCGTTTTATCGCGTCGCGGGCGCTCTCGCTCACGCTCTCGCACGTCAGTCGTTATTTCGCGCGGATTAAATTGCGTTATTTACAGGGAAAAGGAAGTTGGCAGGGAGGGAAAAAAATTTACAACATCGTTCGCGCGCTCGATTCTCCGTCGGCGGCGACTGTTCCGTGCCGACCGATCGAAATCGCGACGCGGCTCCGATGAATTTTTCATCGCACACGCGATAGACTCGCGTTGGGCGATATTCGCCGACCCGCCGATAATATCCCCGCCGGTCGGCGCCGCAGGCGCGTGATAATTATCGCCGCCGCGAGACACAAAGAATCTGGATACACCGCCCCCGAAGAGGGGGGGGGGGTGATGCGTGTGAGGTCGGAAGGGGGCGCGGGCTTAATAAAGATCCCCGGTTTCAATAAAAACGGATTCGCCACGCGCGCGCGCTCTGTTAATTTGATCGCATAAGCGCGCGATACCGCCACCGCGCGGCATTAATCCCGCCGACTGAACATCCCCGGCGAACAGCGTTCTCCCATTACGCGCCCATCGGCACGATGAAACGCACGTAATTATTCTGTTTCGCGAATCGTCCTCCCTCCGTCGAGGGTGTGTGTCCGTCTCCGTGCCGCACGTTGTTCCCTTTCCTGCCCCTCCCTCCCTCCCTCCTCCTCCTCCTCCTCCTCCTCATCTTCCTCCTGCCCTTCTCCCCCTCCCCCCCGCCCTCCGGATTGTTCTCTCATCGTTCGCTATCGAAAGTTTCTCCGCAGTCACTGTCGGTATTAATTAACTTAATTAGCTGCCGAACGAGTGGCTTCTCTTCATTAGCGTGGCGCCCGCCTCTCGCGGGATAGTTTCTGTTGACAATGGGGTTACAAGGGGGATTAATCACGCGGATGAGGGCGAATGCTCCGCGCGTGCTAGCCTGTGTTTCCGCGAGCCGCGAGCGCGATTAAATACGTTATCGCCGTTATCCTAAGCCTGAACGATGAATGGTAATGCCGGGCATGCGACGGGCATTTGTTATTTAATGATGAGCCGTGCGTCGCGCGAGAGTATATCGGAGAATATCTAATATCAATGTGAATCGCGAGATAACGCAGCTCCCTCGGCGCGCACAAACACCGATGAAACTTCCACGCGATGACGGACGGATCCGGGATGGAGCTGCGCTAACTGTTCCAAATTAGTCGTTGTTGCTTCATCGTTTTATTAACGGGCCTTTGTGTTTCCGGCGTAACGTCGGCTAACATAAAAGGCGAGCGAAGCCTTGTCGCGTTGAATTACTCGCCAGCTCGGAACCTTCCCTCCCAACCTACCGCGGGCGGCAAATTCGCTAAGTACACGACGGCGACGAACGCAATATTGAGAAAAAAGAAAAGACCGGAGAATGGGAGGGTTGAAAAGTCGGAGGGCTACCTCCAGAAGAAAATGATGGAATTCGCTTTTATTTTTTCGCGAAACTGCGCGAACAGCGACTACCTCGCTGCGAGGTCTGTGAATTCGCCCCTAGACGGATATTCCTCCATTCGTTCTCATAAGAAGGGATATAATATGGACGACATAATACACCGCGGAGAGGCTATCTTGCAGCAGGTTTCTCATAAACGTCCCATAAAAAATTATTCCCCTCCCCACCACATAAACTCCCTCTGCAGTGTTCCCTACACCTCGCGGCAGAAAACCTTCGTTTTATCCGGGCTCGCCCTCTCGACCGGGTTATCTATCAACGCCGAAAGATTCGAGGAAAGTTCGGGCGCAGCTGAAGATACGAGTGGCGACGGGATATGCGTCCCAGAGGACCGACCGGGATCCTGCGTCCTTACTTTGTACATCCGAATCAGCTTGGCGCTTGTTATCGCTCATTATTTGATCTCTTTGTCATTTGCCATCAGAGTCTTTCGTCCGGTCGTCAAGTACCCTGGAGATGACGCATCCTTCGAGCTTTGTCCTTGAACGTTTGATGAAATAAGGCCCGCGGAGAGAAAAATTGCGGCTACGGCCGGGAAGAAAGTTTTCGGCTTAAGAGGCATAATCACTCGGCCGGGCGAATCACGCGGAATCGATCGATCGCGATGAAGGGTCAAACGGTATTCTGTTAAAGCGGCGAGTCTAACAGTCCAAGTGTGAACCGTGCCAAATGCAGACGCCTCGATTTTAATGTTTGCGGGTCCGAATAGAAAGTCGCGACGTCCTCAGTCTTCTCCTTTCCCACTGGAATATCTTCTCCCGTACGATAAATTTGAGACGCGATAAAATGCTGAAATTCTCGCCGCTTGGCACGAAGCACTTGCGCGCGTTCCCATGCGAATTGATCGTCGTTTATTTACAGTATCCGCTGAAGAAATAAACGAGAACGTCCCGCGCGCCAATTATTTATATATGCCTGATACCACAGAAACCCGTTATTTTGCAGAATATCGTACGATTAAACAAATACGAGAGCGCGCTCGTTAAATGAATATAAACTTCGGCTTTGTTACGTGTGTGAGTGTGTATGTGTCTCTCTCTCTCTCTGTGTGGTGTGTGTGTATGTGTGTGTGTGTGTGTGTGTGTGCATGTGTGTGTGTGTGCACTGATGTGCAATATATTTTTAATTAAATTACTATCCTATTCCCTCCCTCTCTCCACCTCCGTGGTGTACGGCGAGCACAATGCTAAAAGCTAATTGCACGCCTTTATCGAAATCGTCGGTGACATCGACATATCGACGTTTTCGTTAAAGGTGCGCTAACCACATCTACCTTGGAGAGATTCCCAGCGAAAGGACAAGATGCACTTCCTGCCGACAAAGGAGTCCGCCCGAGCGAGCGACTCTCTTCTCTCTCTCTCTCTCTCTCTCTCTCTCTCTCTCTCTCTCCCCCCCCTCTCTCTCCCCCCCTCTCCCTCTCTCCCTCCCTCAAGTGTGTTTCGCCGTGAACTCGTCGACAAGACGCAGCCCGATCGAGGTTATCGTTATTAATCGGAATATAATTGGAAGTCTCAGCTCCCAAAGTTCGCGATATCGGATTCAAGCTCGCGCTCCCGCGCGAGTTTAGCGCGGCGCTTTGATATTCGCGATATTAGCGTTCATCTCGTGGATTCTGACTGATTTGCCTTAACGACGCAGGCTCCTCGCGATTTCTCGATCCTACGACTTTGTCACAATTGGGATCGACACTTTTTCTCAACAAACACATTCGGCAAACGGCGACTGCGATCGACGTTCCAATTTTGTTTGAACCGAAATTACACGAGCAGCTGCCTAATCCGTTCAGCCGGGGCCTTCCGCAATCCGCGGGATAATGCGACGTCGTTTAACGAATCTGTTCTCCCAGCTGCATGCAGCTTGCGCGGCATCTCGCCGGATTTTCCGCGCAGTACCATTTTCCACCTTGGACGCAAGCTGGGGTACATTAAGCGCGCAGCTTAAGCTGTTTCGACCGCGCTTGTAGATGAAGCCCGCTGCGCACGCTAAACGTGCATCTTGCATTTTGGCGAAAGTTCACAATGTGCAATAGTTCGCGAGTCTCGTTCCGCGCTCAGTGAGAGAGGGAGGATGCTTTTAAAACCACCCTGTAGCGTGCCAGTTTTGCCAATCGCAATTAGTTTCGGCGAGATTCTCAGCGAACTCGATGAAAAATCTGCCCGACGAAAATACGACGCGAACAACCATCGATCTAGTTAGATAATGTCGGCGAGCCCAAAGTACGTCGGTGTAATTACTGTTTTTCTCTCGTTTTCTTTTCCCTCTGTTTTCTGTTGTAACGCGCCGACAGAAATCGACGGCGACAAAGTCTCGCAAAAGTGGAAGACTGTTCACGCGCGCCGTTCAGGGGACGGCAGTCGTGACAGCTACATTCGTAGTTCCCTAACTTTCTAAGTCGAATCCAATTATTCAGTCCCAATTATTTTCTTCCGGCGAAACGATTCGCGCATCCACAATATGGAAGCGCGTTCATTACGCGGACATGCTCATTTTAGCGAGCGATTTTTAATGATCTGTCCGCAATTAAGCAAGTCGCCTTCTGATGTTATCGTCATCCAGGTCTGTTCGTGCTTTTTTTTTCTCCCCCCGCACTCTCTCTCTCTCTCTCTCTCTCTCTCTCTCTCTCTCTCTCTTCTTCCCCTCTATCTCCTTTCGTTTTTGTCGCTCTCAATATATCCTTATCCCACGCGCCGAAAGTACTTCTTTGTCAGAGTAATAAAAAGGAGGTCGCGCGCGCAGTTTCACATTTTTAACGACGTGCTTGTAATTTGCTTTCGACTGTGAGCAACAGCTTACGAGAGAGTAAAAGGTACGACAGAATTTTCGTCTTAAACATAACAGGCCGATCATTAGAAGACGCGCTTGAAAATAAAATTTGCCAGCTGGCGCGGGGCCCCCGCACAGAGTGCCGTGATTTTAATAACGCGTTCGTCTTCCGCTTCCAGAATGTGTTTTATATCGCGGAAAGATGAAGCGCGCGCGCGCGCGCTGATAAAAACTGCTACAGAATGTCCGCCTTACATATGAGAGAGCATCCGTTGCGGAGACGATTAAAAAATAAAATCCCGGAATGAAGTGACTCCCCCCTCCTCCCTCGTGTAGCCGCGCAATTTTAATAACGCGCTTTTACGTCCCCGCGACGGGAAACACGGCAGGGAATCGTTACGAGATTTTTGTCTTGTGTATACGCTGCGCTCCATGCGGCGCAAAAACAAAAGTGCTCGGCGGCATCGAGTTTGGCGCAAGAATTTTAATAATATATGTCATCCGCGCGCGCGGGGAACTACTTTTTCCCCGTCTCGACGAGATACACGGCACGCTTTTCGTCATCATAATGCTCGCCTAGCGACTCGGAGACTCGGCGTTGTTAGAAAAGTCTTGCGCCCGAGGGCGCGTTGTGAACGAGGTCTCGCCGAGCCCTAGACGATCCGAAACGAATAGGACTCCGGGAAAGCAGCCTACTCTTGTAAGCAACAGGGAGAAAGAGAGAGAGAGAGAGAGAGAGAGAGAGCGTGTGTTATCTTGTTAGGCGAATAATGCTCTCTCAGCTGCTGTAGCGAGCGTCGTTTTTAGCACGCGACACTGGACGCGATTCCAAGTCACTGTACGCTCTGTTATCCAAATTTCTACAGCGCCAACTTCTCCTCCGCGTTTCCGACGCGGAAGCCAAGCGGTGGAGTTCGTCGCCGCCGGGAGTTCCGAGCGAAAATTCGCGTCACTTCGATATGCGAAGTTTTTTTCTTCAAGCGCCGTTGCGTGATATTTCGCAACGAGCTGCAAGCAAGCGCGCAGCGCATATAAGCTCGCATATTTTATCATATCTTAACATCGTCTTCTAACTGCTGTAACCGAAGTTCAGCGCACGTTACATAATCTAGACATCACGTACACGCACGTGGAGAAGAAGATTAGTCGAGCGACAGCGAACGAACCGAACGTGTTTCGGAACGGACGGAGGCAGGATTTCCGTTCGCTAAAATATGCTCGACCGGAGAAATTTGCGGAGAACCGGAGAATTCCGTTTCCTTCGAGCAAAACACGCGTTCGATGCGTGTTAATTTTAAACAGTCCAACCGACCCGCTCTGCGTTACACAACTCGAAACGCAACTGCAAGAGCCACTAATATCAGCCACTAATTAGCACGTATGACCGCAGGATATGGACATGCTGCAACTGTTCGCGTCTCCGGCGGGTCGAGCGCTGCTCACTAACGACAATCGGCCGCGAGGATCAACGTCGACCTCCTCCTTGTCTCGAGAGTTCTCGTCGAGGCTGAAGAGCGGCAGGAGACCATCGGGTACCGGCACAGTCAGCGCACCTACGTCGCCGCCAAGACGGCGGAAGTCGAGCGCCGAGCTCTATAAGGAGGCCGTCGAGATCCTCGGCCTAACTTGCTCACTGACCGATAGCTGCCGGTGCATCGATTGCCAGGTAATCACTCGATTGAGACACTCGACGTGCCAATCGCTACCAACTCAGTCCTCCTTACGAGGAGCGACTCCTTGCGCGATCTTACGCACGATAAGAGACTCGGCGAGCGAGATGGCGGTGTCAGATAGAACATCCTGCCGAATATCCTAGGAGAGATTGTCGATGTAGGTTGGTTCATCGAGCGATTCGAGGTTGACTCTTGCTAGCAATTACAAATCCAATCGCCCGGCAATCACGAGTCTCTTTATGATTTTTTCGCCCTCTTGGATCGTTAGATCTCTCATGAAGTAAAAGCCCTGAAAAACAAGAAAAAGAATAAAATTCTGTCGACGCACGACACACACGACACCTCTTTGAAGTGGCAATTTCGTGGCTTTTCGCAGCCAAGGAGAGATCCTTTCGTGTTACACAGCGAACTTGCTTAACGTTTCGCGCAATACGTCGTGCTTTTGCAAGACTTTCCTGCAAGACCGCGCGGTTTACTCGTGAACATAAAATTCCTCGAACTTCTCGTTGATTGGCAGTCGAAAATTCTATTTGAAGCAATAACAGGGTAATATCAAATTCAATTAAAAGCGCGGTTCATTTTTTTTCAAGCCAATTACACCGCACGCAGTTGGCACGAGCAAAACGACATCGACGGTTGTAGTCGCGCAAACGAAGCCGATATTGGCTGGTTTGTATACTAATTGGACAGCTCCGTTACGGATTACTCGTCGCGGAACAAGCTTTTTTACTGCTCCGTTTTGGCCGCCACTTCTAGGTTCGTTAGTTTGCCGTTACGCTCGGAAAATCCTGATTCGTTTCTGTCAGGTGATGTCCACGTAAGACCGTTGACGTACAAACCTGTTCGCTAGAAAGTTCACTAGAAAATTGAAGTTTCTCGCGTAAACGCAAATCATTAACTTGGACGTTACAGAAACTATCAATAATATATCTCTTTAAACTACTTTAGAAGCTATTATTTTCATCGCCGTTACTTCTCACGTCTAAACTAATATGTCGAACATTTGGCCTTGAGTGAATTAAAAAGATTTGTGCAAGCACCAACGAGAACGCTAACGTTTGATTCTCTGATGAGCAAAACGAGATTGTCACATGATCTGGAAACGACAGCTCTGTACACTCTCGTTTCCGTTCAAAAACTCTGACACGTCTCTAAAATATTTATAAAACTATAAATTACTTGATGTGATCTCGTAGTAGCACTACGAGATATCGCCAATAGAATGCTGCTTCGGCGCATTATCGGCTGGAATATATATTTGCCAATTGACTCGACCAGGCCGCTGATCATTGCCTCAACTCAATGCCGATATAACGGACTCCCTTTATCTGTGCAGAGCAACTACTTCGACTGCGACGACGATTGCGCCGACGCCGGTACGGAATTGGCTGCGGGCACTCCTATTTTATTGGACCACGCTCTGTCGCATCATCTGACTGTATGTTCCATACAGTAGCAGGCGACTGGCAAGACTACGAAGAGATCGGCCCTCGGTTAACCCGCTCTGCCACATCTACCGAAAGAGGATGGCGACGTCGCCGGCATGTCGACATCCCTCAAGAAAATACGCAACGCTCGCGTTCGGGACGGGGATCCGCGACTGACTAGAAGCAACCAGCGCGGCAACGACATTATGCAGCGATCGAATATGTAACTCGGGAATGTCGAGTCGTTCGTTTTGTGTTTCGCCCAGAAACGCCGCCCGCGCGCAGAACTCACGCAAATATTTTCTCCCGCTAAATCGTCGTCCGCCTGACAGTTCGCGCGATCGACCGATTATCAGCCCGACGGACTTCCCCGTCGGGGGGAAAAGAGAGAGAAAATCGGAGAATCGCACTTCACGGACAACGTAAATTTCTGTTCGAACGCATTCCCGTACGCGTCTCATCGAGTGCACTCCATCGGATATGTTTTATAATCCTTTCGGGACATAATACACGCACGTCGTCGGATTTGTAATACGAAAGGTGACGGAACAACGGAATAATCACTCGCGGCAATGTTCTGTGTTACTTGCTTTCAGCGGTGCAACGACTCGCACACTTTTGTCGTATCGTCGAAAACTCGAGGCCTCGGAAAGTTGCGTTCAGAAAAGCGACGGAAAAGCACGGCTCAAAAATCGGCGGACAAATTGAACAATGCTAAATAGCGCCAAATTTACCAGATAGGAGATTCTAATTAATAATTAGCGCCTGCGCCGCGTTCGCCGCCGCTCTCCGACATTCATCGGATAAACGTATCGTATTGTTTAATCGGATTGCGGTACATGAATTATATATCATATATATATATATATATATATATATATATATATATGTATATATACACATGTGTGTGCGTGTACACACTCCCACACAAAAACACATATATATATATATTATATTTACTACATGTTTTATTATTATTAATATCTACCTAAGTCTAGCGAAATACAGTTGTTAAAGCAAGCAAGAGCTCGCGGCTAAATAAAGAGAGATGTGCTCCAGCTGGCGAGCGAATTAAGCGACTTCGCACGATGTTATGTATAGACTTTACATATATGTCAGGCAGTTGTGAGTATGTGTTCGATTAAGTTTTCTAAAGTAAACCCCCTCCTACCGAAAACTCCACGTTGAGTTGAGGAGACGCGTGTAATAACACGGCGAGTAGGTGTTCTCAACCCGCAAAGGTAAAAATACAACGCGGTGCAATATCTTTGGCAATGGCAAATGTCTCGTCGTCACGTCACGAATAAGATTGCCGTGAAATAAGGCGGGTGGTAGTAACGACAAGAAGGTTGAGGACACCTCTCTCGCGCGTGTGTAATTGTAAGTGACGTAACGATAAACGAAGTTAGGCCTGAATTGTGTTGCGAGTCTCAAACCTGGGCGACGTGAATGCCGAGAGGACAAACGAACGGACGTTCGAGAGAGCGTCGCTCCCGCCGTGAACGATTATTAGAGGGAGGCGTATTATAGCGATAGCGTCGCAACGGGACTTCGAAGCGGGTCAAGTGCCAAATAATTCGTTGCTAAGCCAGATGAATTAATCGAGAATTGTTAATAAAACCTTCCGCGTGTGTATGTTAATTGAAACGCGCTGCGCTGTATCCCCGATAAAATTTTATACCGAGCCGGAACAAAATGTTTACCTGCAGATTTAATCGATAGGCAACCCCCTCCCCCCCCCTCCTACCCCCGCCCTGCATTCTGCCCGCGAAGTCGTGTGTTTTATTATTACGTTGGTGATATTAAATTTCCATCGTCTTGTCGGCTCGTTGAGCGTTCGCGTTAATTCTGTAATTTAAGTTATAATTATACGATATTGTATATTTTGTAATTCACAGGGTCTATATATATATATATATATATATATATATATATACAAAAACGAAGGAAAAATAATGAGCGAATAAAGCTTTCGATCCTGGGACATTTATAAATAACGAGGCACCCCCAACTTCGCACCCGGTGAATCTTCAGAATTCAGAAGACCTTTAACAATCGACGAGGGAGCTATTGCAATTCCCATGCACTTGTTTCTGCAAAAATTTCCATTATGATTTAGCGGGGAACGATTCAGCACTCAGCATGCGGGATCTTTCCTCATTTAGAGTAGCGTCAATTATTTCTCACACAAATTCGTGTTTGATATACGTGTCTGAAGTATCCGTTGCTTAAATTAACACTTCCCGAGAAACTGGTGTTACGAGCCTTCAGCGATCATTCGCTTCAGTCCTTATTTTCTCCCCCCGAAACACCCGCGTACCAGCGCGGAATCCTGCGCGCGTGAAAGCGCACAGACACGAAAATCTCACAGCCAGAACACAATACAACTCAGTACGCTCGTTTCAGGACTTCATAATGTTTACCAAAATCTAACTACGACACCGTTACTTTTTACAACGAGACGCACGTCGTCGATACTATAGATGTAATGAATAGATCTATATTGAATCTCGTCGTCACGTTTCCTCTAAACGACTGGAACGACCGACGCACGAGTAGATTCGCGCTCTTCTCGAACAGCCGTCGCCGTTTATCGCGAAGTCGTATGAATGTCAAAGTTTTCTAAAAAAAATTAAAACGACAGACTTTTCTCCCCCTTGGGTTGACACAAAGCAGACGAGCAAAACGACCGTCACAGCGCGATCGATCTTTTCGCTGTAGAAAAGTATTCTAAGCAGGGAGCCGCGCATTCTTTCGCAAGCATCGGAAGTAAAATTAGAGTACTATACGTCAATTACGTTTCAAGGGAAATTTGCACGTTATTATTATGATCCTCATTGGCCACTGGGACTGCGTTAAGTAATGCTACGTCGTTTAGCAACATATCGAGGATGTGATTCGAGGGTGTGTTACGTTGAAGAGGCTCTGAAATAAATGATCGACGATATTTCACTGTTGACGTATGCTCCCCTTCGCGCACGATAACGACTGATCGATCAACGGCCTCGGATATCTAACGATATTTACTAATATACCTTTTTTCACCGTGATGACGATTATTTGTCTTCGTTAAAAAGAGGCGCGTTATAGCGGAAAGTTGTAGTATAATTGCAGTATGACTACCATTAACGTTGTTAAGTGTAGATAGAACGAAAAGGTGCGATCTCTTCGACTAAAGTAGACACGAAGCGGGAGAGAGCCGTGAAATTGAGACCGAAGTTTCGTAATTGATATGCGATCACTGTGGTTAATTTGCGAGAGATCTTATGATTTTGCGGGCAAATGAGGCAAATGAAAAACTTTATTACCGCTTAATATTCTTTGTACCATCACGTGGCGCTTTTTTAGACTGCAAGTACGTCTAATGTCGTTATATAAACTGCATAGTTAAATATTAGTGCAATATTGTTACTATCAGTACTTGAAGTTTACCAGGTCGTATACTGTTGTCTACTTATTTCCGGCTTTCTTCCGCGTACATCCGCAGCCAATCGAGTTTTAGAGTGCACGTCCGTTGCGTCGGATTGGCTTCTTCTCATCGACGAAAGTAACAGCGCAATTAAATAACCTTTCCGAATATATTCGAGAGTCGCGAATAATATCGCAAGGGTATGTAATGCGAAATCTGTGGCTTCTAACCATTTTATAGTAACATAAATTGCGAAGGAGCTTTGGAGGAGATTATCCTCGCGAGCCGCTGCGGCGTACTCTTCTATAAGACTACCATTAAAATACGATAGAAAATATACTTGACTCTCATTTTACCACTATGTTTATTCTTCAAATCGTATCCCTCTCCCTTATCATCTCCCTGGTATAAGCTGTACATGACAAAATTTCAAATATATTAAAATATGCAAGAGCAAACTCAGAAATCACAAAGCAAGCTCTATAAGTCGACTTGGAATCGTTTTAATCCATATATCCGTGCAAAAGTAATCTTGCAAAGTTAAATATCGGTATCTGTGTATTAATACGTCTAATAAATTTATTACGAATAGAGTTACTTCAGACTTATATATCGACGGCCAAAAGTTCATTCTTGTCTTCAATTCTATTTAAAGATAAATTATTTGCATTTAAAGATAAATTAAAGATAAAATGTAATTAGACAATCGTTGCTGGTTATTTACGATATTAATTTTGTAAATAACTTGTTATCATACATTTCCAAGTAGTTTAACATTCATTGTCAAGAGATGTCGCTGTGCGCTCACTGTGTGCGTCTTGTATTATTATAAAATTTTTAACGCGATTGTAATTTTATCTTTTAATGATTATCAGACTTGTTATGTACAGCTGATAATACAGGAAACACGTTGTTCATTTGTTATTAATATAGTTTCTCTCTTTTATTGTCGTGCGATAAAGTAGATATCTTCTTACTTTACTTCCGAAAAGAGGGGAATTTTATGCGATTGTATCCGCGTAGAATGTAATAAATTGATTTATAAACGAAATCGATTCAGCAGTTCACTGCGATTCACTAAAACCCAACTTGTATTTAATTTTTCTTTCAGAAGACTGTTAATATATTGTCATAATACCATACATGATATTATTTCATCGCTGTTCTCGAAAGCTCATTAAAAAGGAATTAAAAAGGAAGAAACTTTTGCGCGATCTGACCTAAGAATTTAATTACAGGACTCTTGAAAATCTTCTGCATCCCGTCTGCATAATAATTACCAACTCAGATCTTCACGTTACATATTACGCTTTTTAAATTTCAAGCAAGCACTGTTGAACTCGATCCTCCGTTTCGCGCGTGAAGCAAAACTTACACCTGCATCCTCGGCCGATTATCATCCCCTAACTTGTTTCGTGTTTCGTCATCCTTCACACGCAAGTTCCCCCCCCCCCCCACTTTCAAAGAAACGGCAAATTTTTATATTCGTACCGGCGCATGTCCCACGATCGTTATTTCCCGTGGAAAAGCACTTTCCGGAAGTCATCCGTCTCCAGGCCGGGATGTCTCATCGCATATCCTCCGGAATGCCGTAGTGGACCACGAGGCCATTTCGGTGGTCGCCGCGCGCCTCCATCCACGGGATCGGTGGCAGATGGCACTTTGGCGTAGTCGAGGAGGATCCACCCCCGCGTCTTCGAGATGGGAGCGAAGCAGTCGGGATGTAAATTCGATTGGAGGCATCGGCTACGCCGGGATACTCTTATTTCCGAAGACCGAGGGTGGGCGTGAGCGACACGGTAGGGAGGGTCTGGTGTCCTCCAGCTCGTTCTCCTGGCGAAAGGATGCCTCTGGGAGCGCCGCTTATATCGAGTTAGAGCCGTTTGAATACAGACACGCTCCGGTTGGAAGGGGCCCGCTCTGCCAGGCTGCCGGAGATATCGGAGGATCAAAAGTTGAAACCCGACCTTCCTCGCGCGACTCCAGCTATCCTTATATGATTACCCGAGGACCTCCTACCACCAGCGTCTCCTCTCCCGGCGAAAGGGTATCGGCGCAGCCCTACCTCGCGAGCCCTCCTCCCTCGGCGCCATCTTAAGACCGATGCACTAGTCCCGCACGACGCGTAGAATACTTAAGGATCCGTGTCTTTCGCAACCCCTACCACCCCACGGCGACCTCCATCTTCCCCGGGCCAGAAGCGGCTGGAATGACGTGTAGCACGCATAAAGTATTCCTAAGAGACGATCCGTTCGGAAACTGAGTTACGGCTGCTACGTGGTCCAGGTAGACGGCGATACGTCCGCGACATCGGCGAGGTCGATCGCGGAATTATGCACGCCGCTGCGGCGAGCACGAGGGATGATTATATTTCCGCTCGCTAGCGACCGGCTGTTACAGGAAGCGACAACGCGATCGGGCGCAG